GGGAAACCTGTCTAAAGCACCCTGACTAGGGGAGATAGGACTGTGACTACTTACCGATGTAAGGGAGGAACCTCCATGCATTGCCAATAAGAGGCAACTCTCTCGGTCCCGGAACAGCGCTGTAAGGTTTGACCTCACGGGAACCTTCGATGTCCGCGTCCAGTCCGTCAGCAGCGGCTGGCTGTAAGCTTGTTGTGTGGTGACGCCGTCCAGACGAGCTGATCAGCAGACTTCTCGTGTCTCTCAGCTCACCCAGAAGTTTCCTTAGCGCCATTACGCTAGCCTCGGCTCCAGCTCCTGGAATGCACGCAACATTGAGGATTCTCCGCAGGGCATTTCCCTCACAGCACAGAGCATGAAAAACTAAAATTCTCATTACGTCACGAACTCAGTGGCATCAGTATCAATTCCGCTGCTGATGAGAGATTTGTTATTGTCACGCCGGAGAATGTGGTGAGATGTGACACCGTACAGTCCCATATACGACATTCGGGGGCACAGTAGCTCTATGTTCACAGTAGAAGAGGTTTTCTATCCTATCTATCACGGCAGGTAATTGATTCGAAACGTCGGGAAGCCTCTATCAAGCCGTAGGGCGGGTATCTCATTACAGAACACAATCATTTCTAGTTTCTTCTATACTTGAACAGGCTCATTAAGCGTAGAGCACCAAACTAAGCGTGAAGTGAGGCCGCGCCATAGCTCAAGCGGTTAGTCGCTGGCTTCCCATCGCGACGGCCCGGTTTCGATCCCGGGTCTGGTCAAGTGAGATTTGTGGTGGACAAAGTGGCTCTGGGGCATATTTTCTCCGAGTACTTCGGTTTCGCCTGCCAATCTTCATTCCACCAACTGCTCCACAATCACTCTCACCTATCATCTGGGGCTGGTGCAATAGGCCAGAAGTGGCCGCAGTACAAGCAACTTAGTCCCACCCCACTAGCAATAATACAAAAAACGTGAAGTGCCCGCCATTGCCTGTCCGCATGCGCAGCTGCCACTCAGGATTACGATGTTAACATCGAACACACTGATATGACCTTTGATATCCTCCACAGATACCCACTGTTGAAAGTCAGTTAGGGGTGGAATAATATCTGTACCCATTGCTCTCTATGTTACAGCAGCGGACCCAAAAGTTTACAGATGACGCCCCACTTTGGTTTCCAATAAACCCTCCTGTCTCCCCTCAAGTATGTAATTGAATTATATGTAACCGAGTGTGCTCGTATTTATATTAGTGTCTATGAGAAAAGTAGGACTCATAATTAGTAGGATACCAAAACTATGAATAATCAATTTGAAATTTTAAAATAGAATCATGCACTGTTGTCTTTACTTGGCAATGAACAACGCTGTATCGAATCGCTGTAATTTATTGTAATATCAGAATTGTGGTCGCATGGGATTTGTGGTGGACGAAGTGACACTGTGGCAGGTTTTTCTGCAAGCACTTCGGTTTCACGCGCCAGTTCTCATTCGAACAACTGCTCCATGCTCGGCAATTTTCCAATCACCGGTTCGATACTGACAGCATCGTTAAGCAACACACCTAACGTAACGTAACGTCTATAGAGTTCTTCCTTCAGAAGCTGCAGCAAACGGCATAAACAGGCCATCTGTCCACTACACACGTTGACGTAGTCCCACAATAAAATGTCAAAAAAGATCTCGAAGATCAAATGATGGGGTCTCTCCCCCCACTCGAGGGCCCAGGGGTCCCCTTGCTGACTGCATGACGGAGAGTCCTGCTGTAATGACGCTTTCCCCCATCTTTCTATAGACAGTTGCAGTTCAATGTTGTTTCAGCTGCGGACAAGCGAATTTGTCCAGCAAACTGAAATAAATATTTCCTTCACCGCAGCCTCCACAGAGGGCGGGAGAATGCAGTGATTTCTTTATGAAGCAAGCCACACCCTACGTTGACACTCGTGGCATAGACGTTTCGATATGACCTTCATTCCTTCACTCCGCTCTTTCCGCTTTCCCGTACACGCATTTCGACAAGGCAGCGCGGCCGTGACAAAGTCAGTGTCCAAATTGTGACGGATTTGCGCGTTTTGAACTCCCCTGAATGGTTTTTGGAATGTTGCCTCTTCTTTTGCATGTATGTGTGTATTTGTATGTACGTCTTGTTAACGTCTTGACGGTTTGACGGATTTCGTTAATGTTCGGTACCCTTGAGGGTAACCATCCTAGGCCGGTGCAGGTGGCTATAAAGATTTTAGCGCCAAAAAGAAATATGGGGATCGAAGTACTTAATGACGATTTTCTCGCAACCGGCTGTAATGATTTCGAATAAATTTAAGTAATTTATGGGGATTTTCCGTCTCCCAGCATAAATTTGTGAAGGCGATGTCTTGAGGCAAGTAACTGTGCGAATTATAGACGTATTTCATAGAATGTAGCTTCGTCAGTTGGACAGATTTTATTGTTACGTACCAGTAGTCAGCTGCGATCTACCGGCCAGCAATTTGTTTATTTACCGAGGTAAATCAAAGCGAATCGCGTTTGAGAAAGTGTGCCCAGTGTCTTTGTAGTCCTGTCGAGCCTGGAGGGTTCCCAGAGCCGTCAAGAATAAAATGTCATGAGTCCCGTGGCACTCGGAACCAAGAATCACTGTGCTGGCGACGACTAAAACAGATCAGCAGTCATTCAGTCTTTGCATCGATTTTTTTAATGTGCATAATTTTTAAGAAAACAAAACCCCCTGAAACCCCGACGTGACTTTGCAGACAACACGTCCTGAACATAGGCCCCTCTTGCAGACTCTGTTGTGTTGTGTTCTGAAGCAACTCGGTTTAAGCTTTCAAATCTATGCGTAATTGTGACTTGGCATATTTGCATTTATATAGCCTTATCCTTGTCATGCACACTGAAAGCTGCCTGTCCGTCCTTGCTCCCATTGAAAACGCGACAAAACTCGCAATATTAAAACCGAACACTGGGATCACGGACTGGCCAAGCAGCCGAGCTCTTCCTCCGACACTCTTGGAATGTCTGTGCTGACTGTCGGCACGGTCTGACGTTCACTTGACCCATAACGTTCTTACCTGCATTCGGAAGATGATAGGTTCGAATCTAAAACAGGTTATCGATTTTCTGTCTCGCTTTCCTGTGGTTTTCCTCAGTATATCCAGGCAGATATGGGAAAAGTATCTAGATTAGGTCACAGCTTCTCCCAAAACTTTCAGTATCGGTGTTCACCAACAGTCCCACGGTTCGATGCTTGAAGGGACAGACGGCCTGCGTGAAGCTCAAAGTGATCATTTGTTTAATTATCTAATTAAGAGAAATGGCGACAACAAGGGTCCCGCGGTCTATATTTTCTTCAGTCACTCTAACATTGACATCTTGCTTGGGGCATTGATGTATGCGTGTGTTGTCCTGTGCAAGTGTAGGCCGATCCCCCTTTTAGGGATTCATACAAGCTGTGTGTAAAATAAGTTCATCTTGAACTGGAACAGGACATAGGGCCTAACCTGTAAAGTCTGAAGAACTGTCAGATTTAGTTTAATTAAACTTTTGTAAAATGTAGTTAACCGGCGGATAGTCTGGATAAGGCACACAATTGAGACTAGGCACTTAGTGTATACATTCAGAACCAGTCTGGTTTCTTATATCTATGAAGAAGCATATTCTCTGTGCAAATCTACGCCCCTGTGCTCTTGTTTCGACAAAATTTAGCGTGATGGTACAGGACCTCCGAGAGGATGCAGTAGGCGCCTGGAAACTCCCTCCACAAGTGTTTTGCAAACGGAAGAGTGTAGAAAACAGGAAGTTCTTGGAAGAACTGTTACCTACTTTCCTTTTATACCTCACGGGCCGCATAGAAGAAAGAATTGGGGCTTAACATACATACACACAAACAGATAATGATATTATATAACAATAATTAGCAGTGGGGGGACACACACTGCAAACACACAGAAATGTTATCTCACAATTCTCAAAACTCAGTGTGGGGGTCAAACAGACAAGTAGACAACAGGATGGTCTCATATCACTCCTAACAAAATTTAGGGGTGTACGCAGACAGACGAACAGAAATGAACAAATATACAGACAGACGCAAGGTGATCCCATAAGCCTCCTTTCATTTTAGCCTACTTTCCCTACTTTGAAAAAATAAGAGTAGGCTTACGCGGTCTCGATCCTGTCTGTGCGTCTGTGTGTCCCCTTCTATCAAACCTTGAATGGCTGAATCCATCTTTACGAAACTTGGTATGTAGGCTATATCATGACACCTTGAGCTCACAAATCCCTCCCATCAGTCTATATGTATATATATATATATATATATATATATATATATNGTCTGTCCGTTCTAGTTTTGAGATATTTAATCCTAAGATTTCCGAATATATATTGTAGTTCTTAAAAATTCACCCCCCCCCCAATTTGATGATTTACGTTGTAATGGATCAGTTAAATTCCTGAAAATTATGTTACGTCATATTGATATAATTAAGATGAACGTTACAACTTCACAGCGCATTACACTTCCTAATTTCAGGCGTACAGCGCCCGACACGTCGGCTAGTCACCTGTACAACGAGAAGTAAGCAAGCTATGCACTTTCCACTTGTTTCACTTTCACAATTACGGCTATTCCACAACATACAGTACAGTGGCTTCAGCCCAACAGGGGAAATGTTTCGAACTGCGCTAAAGGTCTCTCTGCAGACAGGGCGGTCCCGTGTGGCCACTATATATAACTTCATTCTGGACCCAATGACGTAACACTGGCAGGCAACTTGACCAGCAGTCCTCTTTCAGAGCTCCTAGGAGACGAGTGTTGTCTTGTAGCGCGCTCAAGGCAACCATCTTTAGGAATGGCAGTTTCTGGTAATGATCCGTCAACTTAGCAGTTCCAGTTCTCAAACTGGTTAGCCCTGATCTGAAATCACTTCCTCTTTCTTGTGCAATAACTCTGTGATCTGGATTCAATCCATATGGATCAGGCACCTTTCACACAAACAAGCATTTAGTTTTAGTACCTGAAAGTAAAAGTGAAATTCTATAAGTCAGTTGCAGCATGTCTGCAAGTAGGGGAGGCGCCATGTTGATCAGAATTTAGGATATGAAACAGAAATATTGAAACTGATCTTAAACAAAGTTGACTGCAGGCTGGAATTCATCTGGCTCAGGATAGGGACCGGTGGATCCTCTCGTGAACACGGTAATAAATCTTAAGAGTTCTATAAAATTCTAGAAATGTCTTGAGCAGCTGAGCAACTGTTAGCTTTTCATGAAGGCCGCAACTCTAGTGAGTTCGTTGAAATAAGTTTTCATGTCGAAGGAAGAAAGAGCCCATGACGTTGTTTCCTTTTGAATGTTACTAGCTGTACACAGAATGATACATAAATGAATATATTTTGATAATATATTTTATTTATTTTAGATTTATTTAACGACGCTCTCAGTATCAGAATGGGTTGTGAATAAAGAATTTTTAAGGGGAAAAAAATATTGGCCTAATTTGAGGTACATCCCGTTTGCTTGGAGTGACTGGGGAAATAAACGAATGTTAATGTCTAAATGCTATGTGTCCTGGCCCAAATACAAAATCCAGCATCACCCGAATGCAAATCATGGGTCAGTTTCTTCTGTTATTTGAAACATCGTATCTGAGCGGCACATTGCAATTTGCTGTACAATTTAAAACTCAGAAAGTTTAAATTTAAATTTTAAATTTATAAATTGCAGGCGTATGATTAGAATTATGAATAGTAACTCTTATGCTTTGATCTCCTTTGTAACATTTGAGGTTCTTATCATTAAGATGTGACGCCGTGTAGTGTGGCCGTAAGTGTCAGAATCCTGATGCCGCGGTTGCCATGTTAGCACTCTGTAAACAGCAAGTGCTGAGCTCTATCGGTGCACTGTGTTCCCACAATTTCATGAAGCGTAATCACGATTATATTGCATAAAGGGAGATGAGACATCACACTGTGCGATTTCACGTTCAGCCTGCATATTCTGCAGCCAGTCTTTGTTTCTGTCCCCGTTTCGCAGATCGGTGCGAGTGGGTTGACTCGAGAAACCATATGGGCGGCATCAGACAAAACCACGGTTACCAATCGCGCGTCCATTACAGGTACGTGTTGTGTACGTTACTGAAGCGAGGTATTGGTACATTTCTGTTAAACCAAGAGGCGCGCAGAAACATGTAATTATTAGGTTTTTTTATTGGTAGTGCAGCGAGACTAAGTCCCTTGCACTGCGGCCACTTCTGGCCTATTGTACCAGTAATTGTTAGGTTAGTCCGTACAGTAATTTGCGAGCTGGGGTTTCTGTCGAGTCCTTCCTTCGAAAGCGTCGGTATGACGTTAAGACATTGACATACCAAGCCACAGAGTTGGGAAAATATTTCGACTCCTGTGTAAATGTTACACTAATCATACCAGTATTATGCTGGACGTTGCCTGTTGGCTGGACAAAGCTTCGGAACAGGGATCGCCTTCCATCTTCAGGTTAAAGTGGGTGGGGTTAACCTACTCAGCTGGACTCATCTGGAAGTGTCTAGTAAGCTTTACAACGGGCTCAACTGAGAAGTATCTCCCTCCTTACACCTGAAGAAAGTAGACATAGATTCCGAAACGTCGTGTATGTCAGATGTGCTTAAGATATCAGGCGATATTCAGTACAATGAATTGGCCATGCTCGCAGATCTTCATAAGAAGGGCGTTCATTTTTGTGGAGATGTGTTTTATTGATGATGCATATGTCTAGGCTTACAAACTGCAGTAAATCTGAATAACAGCGAGTTAGGAAATTTACGCATAGTGTGACAATTCCGCCCCCTTTCGCTCTGTTTCGTTTAATTCCCTCGAAAACCCATAAGATCCACACACGAAACGTGTTATAACGCACGTGAGAAATATTTGATTTGCTCCGATAAATACTGAGTTAAGGGCGTTCGGTACCGAGATCCGCGCAGAAGAAACGCAGGCAGAACTTCATATTGTCACGTGAAGGAGTGACGTTAGGTGGGGTTTTGATTCAATATTGAATTGATTGACCACTTACACATTCAACTCTGAACTACAAGCAGTTACAGCGCCACCGCAAGTCTCCACACGTTACAAATCACTGCAGCTCCCGCTAAGCCTTTTCCAGCCTACTGTGCCTTCACTAACCGTAGCCTGGTAACGGTTTCTGATAGCGGAGATTTTTCAGCTTACGCGCTCAAGTCCTCCCTGAACGGCGGATACCTTCAAAGTGAATCATCCTTGCTTCAATTGTTCTCATTATAATCCCTTTGCACGGACCGAGTGGAAAACCTTTCGAACAGTACCTGTATTCTTGCATGCAAATCGGTTGCCACGGGGACGTGTTTAACGAGCCGTTACCTAGAAACGGATGTACACTCTACGATATAAAGTGTCAATTTTTCCCCGACTGTGACCAAAATTTCAGCATTGTCGACAGTTGTTAGTAAAACTTACATGAGAATTCGTTCAGCGAGTTCCTACTTGTTGCGTGAGAACCAGCGAAGTCCAGCTTTCGCAACCTGTAATTGCAGTCGCATCAGGAACGAATTTCGTGACATCCTACTTGTACTAACCTGCCGGGGTAGGTCACATGTACATAGCGTCGTTTGCCCCCCATAGATACATGCGTCTAGGTAAGGGTTCCTGTCTCTCCCGCCGGGGTAGGTCACATGTACATAGCGTCGCTTGCCCCCATAGCTACATGCGTCTAGGTAAGGGTTCCTGTCTCTCCCGCCGGGGTAGGTCACATGTACACAGCGTCGCTTGCCCCCATAGCTACCTGCGTCTAGGTAAGGGCTCCTGTCTCTCCCGCCGGGGTAGGTCACATGTACACAGCGTCGCTTGCCCCCATAGCTACCTGCGTCTAGGTAAGGGCTCCTGTCTCTCCCGCCGGGGTAGGTCACATGTACATAGCGTCGTTTGCCCCCCATAGCTACATGCGTCTAGGTAAGGGCTACTGTCTCTCCCGCCGGGGTAGGTCACATGTACATAGCGTCGCTTGCACCCATAGCTACATGCATCTAGGTAAGGGTTCCTGTCTCTCCCGCCGGGGTAGGTCACATGTACACAGCGTCGCTTGCCCCCATAGCTACCTGCGTCTAGGTAAGGGCTCCTGTCTCTCCCGCCGGGGTAGGTCACATGTACATAGCGTCGTTTGCCCCCCATAGCTACATGCGTCTAGGTAAGGGTTTCTGTCTCTCTCGCTTCCTTCAAAATGCCCCAAACTCCTTTACTTCTACAGATAAAAAAATTTTGTGTTTGTTACCTCCTGAAACAGTTAAACAGTTGTGAGGTACTGTATTGGAAAGTGTCATTATGTTTTGTTCATTACTCATCATCAATGTTGGCGAAACAGCCATTTTTGAGCCATAGCTTTCCTTAGGAGGTTCTGCCAGATTGCTACAGGTTTTCACTTCTTTTTATTTCATGACAATTTTCTTTACAGAGCAAGGTGGTCAGCCTTGCATCCAACCCCCAACCTGGGGGACCAGGTCTCTGTATTTATGTCCCCTACTGACGGGGTTGGGCCCAGTCAGACCCCCAGGGAATGAATTCCCTTTTCATCACCTTCTACGACTCACAGGGGCTACGGTGGTGGTACTGTAAACCGCCTGCACGCATTAATGCTCATGAGAAGTTCCGTCAGCAGTTGTCGTACACAGTCTGCTTAATTATATGCAATTCCTGCATTATGCAACATGTTTCAGCCTAGTGACCATGCAAATAAGCCTCGCGATGGCCGGGGTTGCATAATAATGAAACTGCATGTAATTATTTCGGGTTTCTACGTTAGTAGTGTTGACGGAACTTGCCGTGTTTATTTGTCCTGGAATGTGTGGCTCCCATAGGAACCAACTTGCAAAATGCACAGCGTCCTTGTAAAGTAAACAAACAACTGTTGACTTATTTTTGTTCCGAACTGTTAGCAAATGTAGAGACGTCACACCTGGTTTCTTTTCACTGGGAATGCTGAACTCTAAGAATAATATATTTGTTTTTACGCTTTTAAGGAGCTGAGAAAACTAAGTATATGTTGCTGTCTCGTCACCAAAATGCAGGGCAAAATCATGACATAAAGATAGGAAACAGATGTTTTGAAAATGTGGCACAGTTCAGATATTTGGGAACGACGATAACAAATCAAACCCTGATTCAGGAGGAAATTAAGAGGACACTGAATCGAGTAATGCTTGCTACCATTCAGTGCAGAAGCTTTTGTCTTCTCGTCTGCTGTCCAAAAACATAAGAATTAGAATATACAAAACTATAATTTTGCCTGTGGTTCTGTATGGGTGTGAAACTTGGTCTCTGTCATTAAGGGAGGAACATAGACTGAGGGTGTTTGAGAAAAGGATGTTGAGAATATTTGGACCAAAGGGAAATGAAGTGATAGGAGGTTGGAGAAAACTGCACAATGAGGAGCTTCATAACTTGTACTCTTCTCCAAGTATAATTAGAATGATCAAGTCAAGGAGGCTGAGATCGGCAGGGAATGTAGAAGAAGAGGAGAAGAGAGAAGAGGAATGCTGATAGTTTCCTGCTTCACTTACTGTTGATCCTGAAGATGTAAGTGATATGTTATTCCGAAACGTCGGTTGATTTTCGCTGGACTGCATGCCGTTATATGACAAAAGATGAAACTCTTCATAATTCTATAAGACTCTTCTTAATACTTAAATTCCATCTACGCGTATTTGTCCCAA